AAGCAGACCGGGACGAAAGCAAGTCAACCTCAGGGTTTGTGTTTACTTTAGGAGGAGGAGCCATAGTATGGAGGAGTGTCAAGCAGAAATACCTGGCGCCACAGACTCATAAAGCGAGTAAATACATAGAGTGCAAGTACAACCTGATACGAGAAATCGTTGGACGAGGAGAAGTGGTTGTTGCCAAGATATAATCAGAGAACAACCTAGCAGATACTTTTACGAAGAGCCTACCGGCGAAAGTCTTTACGAGACACGTAGAAGGAATGGGAGTCAGATGATAGGGCAACATAGGAGACTAGTCTTTGAGAATTAGATTGAAAGAAATTGTGGTTATTTTTGTTTAGCCATGAGCTTATAAAGCATAAGTGGGAGATTGTTAGAGGTATGCTGTAAAAGCTATGTTTTGCAGATTCTATCAATTCCATTTTGATCTTGCAATCATGTTTCAGTCAAAGTACATATGTTTGCAGTTTATTTTTTTATGCAATACATACTCCATGTCTTATATTGAGGTAGTGTGGTTCGAAGAGTTTCGAACAGAAAGATCACCTATCGGGTCTTTATAAGACTAAACTATTCGTTCACAGTCTAGACTGGCAGTGAGACCCCACTTGGAAAAAGACTGTAGTGTATTCTCGATTCAGTTGGTTTTTGACTGAAGGATTACACTAGCAATTATGTTAAGTGTTGAACAGGACCGCGGAAGGCAAAGGTTATAAGACTCACTGACCGTTGTTGTAACCTCGCCCTTCAGTGATTGATGCGTTCTCTTAAGCTGTAATATAATATAAAATAGGCATATATTTTTATCTCTTATTTATTTGATTTACCGAGTGATTCCTATTCTATTAGGATGACATACGAGGTATTTTGGTAAGTAAGAATAATTATATGATGTGTTATTATAGATTATTTACAGTCACTATGTTCCAGTGCGCTGGATTGATGACGTCCCCGAAATGAGCTCAGAAATGAAAAATATGTTAAACCCTGCAGGTAGACGATTGTCTGACATAATGGTTAAAGGCTGAGTGGTACTAATTTCAGAAATGAATAAGAAGTTGATTAATTATTTTGTCAGTATTTTAATTAATCAACGGACGTTATATCTTAAACATAGGGAGGTAAATCGATCAATCAGATTAATATTATTTAATCATGGAGGCTCGATTTTATTGGTAAAATAGTGGCCAAATGGGGAGAGCAATAATATTACTCTAGTGGGATGTTTTATTATTTAATTCCATTAAATAGGAATTAATTTTATTCCATATTAATTAATTAATTAGGAGAATAAAATTCCTACTAGAATCTTCTCTTGGGATTAGGAGACTTGGGAGTCTTCTAGAAGATGAAGATTAGTGGGAAATATATTTCCAACATTATATTATTAATTGGAGTAAAATTAGGCTTCCAAAATTAGGAATTAATTTTATTCCATGATTATTAGTTTAATTAGAAAAAATATTCCTACAAGGATCTTCTCTATTGTTAGGAGACTTAGGAGTCTTCTAGAAGGAGAGGATTAGTAGGAGATTTCCTTCCTACATTAAATTAGTATTGGAATAGAATTAGGATTCCTAGGCCTAATGGAATAAGCCCATATTTAGCACCTCCTTAAGGTCCCTAATGGAGCCTATAAATACACCATGTCCCAATCTCTCCTACAATGTTGTGTTGGCCGATTTTCTCATCTACATACACGAGAGAATTACATCGTTTGAGAGTTAGGGAGATTCGATTAAACGCTCCACCAAGTTTAATCGGAATAGGTGTTTAGGTAATCCATTAGAAGGCTTTTTGGTACAATTAATTGAGCTTTCTAAAAGACATAAATTCCGGTCATCTTCATCACATCATCACCGCCGCCCATCGCCGCCGTGAGGAGTCACTGGAAATCCCCAACCGCCGCCAGAAGTCAGCCCAGCCTAGCCGATCGCAACCGCGAGTCGTTGCACGCCGTCGCGCACCAGCCAGGCCCGACGCCAACTCCGAGCAGCGTCTGCGAGCGACGCCTGTGAGGTCCCAGCTGCACCTGCTCGTTGTCGTTCGCCCGCGCATCACGCCAGTCGCCGTTCGCGCATCCCCAGCGCTCTAGGAGTACGCGCGCACCATCCCGCGAACACCCAGGAAACGTTCGGAATACGCCGCGTGTTCCCAGACGCCCAGCGCTAGTCCGCATCTGCATAGGAAGTGCACCGCGTGCACGCACACGCCCGAGGTTGCCAGCGCCCGTCCGCGTACCCTGATCCCGCACGTCCGCGACACGCATCCTGTCAGCACTCGTCCGCATCACCCCAGCAGTCCACGACCGTGCTCACGACCCGCGTACACGCACGCTGTCTGCGCCCAACGCGCACGAGCTGCCCGCTGCACCTAACGACCGAGACCTGCGCACCGTTCAACCGAGGACCGTTTGACGAGTTCATTATAATCAACTAAAGGCCAAACCTATCTGCCCATTAGGTTGTGGTGTTCAGACGAACTTCATCAATGGTACTCTACATCGTCTCAGAGTCGGCAAACATTTTAAAAGGTAAACGTCCATATCCTAACTATAGATTCTGCTACGTTAGGTTTTATTTCGATAAAGTTCAATACTGTGCATGTTGTTTGACGTTCCTAACAGAACCCAACACCACTTATGAGGTTTTGCATGAGTAGCAATGAGACTACTTGTGATGTGATATATATGTTATTTTGGGGCTTAGAAAATCTATCCACCTTAGGTTATGTGAACTCTAGTGTTTGACCTTGAACTCTAGTGATATAGAGTTAAGTTTGGACTCTAGAGGTTCCTAGTTGTGAGTTTTCAGTTGATGTTTTAGTTGAGCATCTGTCAGTTTTCCCGCTACAAGTTTTCGTTCAAAATCCTCGGAGTAGGACCATTTGTGATCTATCTCGCAAGAGAAAGGTTGAGAACTGAGTAACTCCCTATTGAAAGCGATTACCTGGAGATTTATACTCAGTCAATGTGGACCGGGAGTGGTGTTTAGGTGCTACGAGTAGATCGATGATCGACCCCATAGTTAGGGGAAAAATCTAAATGCGCATCATTGTCACGAATCTCGAGGGTGGTTAGACCTCGGGAGAAGCAATAGTAGTCAAGCCTTGTGCGTTGAATTGAACGGAACTCGTGAAGACTAATGCATGTGTAAGAGATTGCGATATCGTCCAAGGAACGAGTAGGCCGATCAGACACCGTGTGAACATTCTGTGATGTAAATGTGAGGCACACTGATGGGTTAAGGTACGAATATGTGTGGATTATATGCTGATATTCATGCCTAGTGGATTGGTTTAAGATGCTTATGATCATGTTAATTTAATTAAGTCTTGATGAGTTTTGCATGCAAATTCATTATTTTTCGTGCCTTTGCATCATGACCAGTATGCTTCCAAGACTGTCGTTTATGGAAGTTGAATTCTACTTTAGAAGTATAACATGTTTTGTGTTTTCAACGAGTTTTGAAATTTTGTAAATCCGATCTAAATTGAGGGAGATATGGTTTTTACATAAAAGATTGTGCAAACAGTTTCATGAAAACCCGACAGCATGTTGAATAAAAGGTCTGTTTTTGATGCCTGAATGTGCTCATATGCGGTCATGGTCTTCATGAGATAACCCAATTTTACTGAGGCTCTGTAAGTTGTATAATCATGTTCTCGGACTGCAACCATGTTTCAAATGTTTGATGCATAAACTATGATCAAATGACCTTATTTGTCTTCAAGTTCTTCATTAAGTTTTGTGGCTGCACATTTTAGGATTTATATGTATCTAAAATCATGCTTATTCGATTTATGTGCTGCAAGTTATACCTGATTTATAATATTGCTCGTGTGCCATTTTTGCAACTAGTGTTATGTTTCAAAAACGAGTTTTACCTTTATCCTGCATGGCTACGTCGTGACCTGTATGTCCTAATTATTTGATGTTATATTGTTGATT